TTACTAAGAGCATCGTCCAGATGCTCCTTGAATCCTGATGGGCTTGGTGCCATGACCGCTTCCCTGGGGAGCCTGTTCTAGTGACTGACCACCCTCCCAGTGAAGAACCTTTTCCTAACGTCCAGTCTGGCTTCCCCTGATGCAGCTTCCTTCCACTCCCACAAGTCTCTTAAATCTTGAAAATGCGGCTACGCATTTTCTAATAATAAATCTTTACTGCAGCTAATCTTATCTTCTTCCCACAATAAACTCCTAATTATTACCTTTCCAGCCAGCATATCTGTGATTTTAAAAGTGCGTGACAGCAGTAAAAGCAAGCGCTGGATCTGAGGACTGAAAAAGGAAATACTTAGGTTAGGCATACAGAAGATCCTTGGTTTTTTGAACTCTGAACAACATGATATAATGGAACAAGTTACAAGCTGGGAGCGAACTGTTCATACTAGGGAAGTCAGGGACAGTCACCCCTGCTCCTGGGCCTGGTGGCTCTGGGGAAGCTCCACCTTCTTCTCCACGAGACTTGCACTGCCCAAATGAAAACAAAAGAGGAAAAGTACTTTTTTTTTTTTCTTTCATTTTAACTTAGACCCGGTCAAACCCAGAATCCATTACTAAATACTAAAGACAACTGAATAAAACATTTTTGCAAATATTTGTCTGAACTCAAAACTTTGCACATCATTAATTACAAGTTTTATCTCCCATTTATACTGGAAGTACCCCAGGCCAGCAACCCTGTGAGGCCCAACAGTACCAAGCACAGAGTGTGCAATGGCAAAGACCTTTTTCTATCACTTTCACTCTGCTGAGGCTAAGCAAATTACAGAGAGTACCTGCAAAGGTAATTTTTGAGTTTCAGAGTATTTATATCAGCCAGGAAACAATGTCAGATAAACTCTGTCCCCAAATAAAACCAAAGCTCTGAAGTCTGAGTAGCTGCTACTTGTCACTGCCTAGTCTCAGTCAAGCTATAGGAGGAGAAATACTTAGGGAAGCGATCTGAACCACACATCCATCTGAGAAAACCAGAAATGTTTGCAGGGAATCCGTAAAAAGAAAAAGAGACCAAAACTGATCACTTTGTTTTTTCTGCCATTTTACTGCACCACTTCACAATCCCCTTTCAAGCAAACGGGTATATTTACAAACAGCATGCAGCTTGTTAAACCAATTATTCCTTACCAATACATGCACTGCTCTAATAAGCACCTAACAGTTGTTTGCAGAGCCTGGTGTGGCAAGGATCCAGCAAGAAAACAAAATAACCAGAATATCCTGTCCATTCAGAGTAAAATATAAAATCACTGGCCCCCTTGGCCTCGGTTATTTGGAAGTTGCCAAATATACCTTGCCCTTCTGGAAGGTGTGGATAGAAGTGGTCCCACATCTTTCCCTGCCTGTTTACCTATTAAGATGCACTCCAGCTCTCAGGTTTTGTCACCAAAGCTATGATGATGCTAAAGGAATACAACACTTAACAGAAAAAAAAAGTCTGAACCCAATGTTACTCATGTAACAATGCTTTAGGCATATTAGGGCAAATGAACTTTTTGAATGAAAGCTTTGCTCTTTACAGGGAAAATATGGTACTGTTGTTTCTCTTTTCCTGTGAATACATTTCTTTCAGGCAAAATATATATTTTGAGTCATCATTAAAAAGACATTTTTTTAACTGACCTGCTTTGGCAAGCAGATAAGTTAAATTAATTTATTTCTTCTATTTATTTCTACAAAATTTCTTTGTCCTTCGCATTTGATGGACAAAAATAGAGGTATATCTCCTTAGTCCTTCTTTGCACCCTGCTTCCTCTCTGGAACCCTACATACCTTTCCCACATAAATCGGCGTTTCGTGACATTCAAATGCATTTCCTTAAGCTTTCAACAAATTTGATACGGCTTTCCTCTCCGGGCCCTATAGCAGCCCCCACATTCCTAGTATTATTCAATCTAGTCGAAATCTTCCTGTTTCTCAGATAACACTAACAATCTGAGCTGAGTGTTGCTTTCATTTTTAGAATAAGACCTGCCCATTAAGAAGCCAGCGCCTGCTTTTCTAGGTTATTGTTTCTAGTCTATGCATTTTTTTTCCCACAAACACAAGTTTGTCATTTTAGCCTCTGATGGAGCTTGTCATTTGCATTGTAGTAATTTTGCTCACTCGGCTTTCCACAAATACTATTCTTTTGAGATTCCTACGTGCTCCAACTGTAAAAAATGACTAGGAAGCTGCTTGACTTCGTAGTGCCTTTTGATCCAAACAGCCTCAAGAAACACTGTACAAACATCAGGATGCCTGTGAAACCGATGCTAAATATATTTTAACGTATCAATCCACAGGGGAAAGCACAACACTGAGAAATTAAAGCAAAAAGTGTTCAGATACAGAAAGTAAAGCTGTACCAAGGTACTGAAATAATCAGGAACTGCATATGCAGTACCTCAAAATTTCCTTGAAAAATTATAAACTTTAATAAGAACAACACAGTTCTCAATAGGAACCTTATCCTTAGCAATTGGGATTAGAAATGCTGCCCAAATTGACACTAAAGAAATCAGTAAGTGAATAAAATCAAGCAGTTCTTGCCTTGCAATCCTATTCTTTAACGCTCAGGCGACGCTCTCCAGCTATCCCTGCATTATTTTTTTCAGCTACCTTTGGCTTTTTTTAAAGTGCATTGCTTCTGCTGAGCTTATCTAGGAAGGAGTAGGTCCAAAGTAAGCAAACAGACATGAGGAAGTAAATAAATAAATAATCCCAGGGAAGGAGCCTTTCTGAGCATGGGTAGCTGAACCACTGACTTATTGTCTCTGCTCTCACCACACACCCCTGTCAGTTGGTTGTTCCTTTTTAAAAAAAAATAATTTGTTTTTAAAATTTGGGAAGGCCTAACCAGCATTAAAAGCTTACAATTCTTAGTAAAAAAAGGGAAAGCTATTTTGCAGTTATGTGAAAACAAAGAGCATCTGAAATCAGTATGTTGTATTTGTTTTCACCATCAGTTGGGGGGGGGGGCAGAAGGAAAGAAAAAATAAAGACAGCTGTTAATCCATTTTAGTAAAAGTCGAAAAAATCCTGGGGACTTTCTAAGCCTAATTTCAGCCTAGAGTGATTTTTATGGCCAAACAATGAATCCTTAGAATAATTGGTTCATATCATGAATGCACAACAAACTCTGAACCCAGGGCCTGATCCAATTTCCAGGGTAATCGGTAGAAATACCTCCCTTGGCTCCGGTGACAGTAACAACGCACAGTATCATTAAAAAATAAGAAGTCTTTACAAATGTGTTCTGGGTGAATACAAACCAATTGTTTGTTTATGTTGCACGAGCTCTAAAAGTGTTTTTGCAGCCTTACATGACTTACATCGATGCAAACAGATCAATATAAACCCGTGGGTAAAAAAAGCACCGCCACTTGGAGAGGTGCTAAATTTCCAGACCACAGTGTTCGGATGATGATTATTTACTGCCATTGTACGCAGATGAAAGGCTGTGGCGTCCCTTCCAGTTTCACCGCTTCGCGCCAGCTGAATTCTGCGAGAGGGATGGCGTTAGAAATGGAAGGCTACAGTAATGTTAACTATGCTGTTTCCCTCCAACATCCATTTTGTTCCAAAGAAACACTTGCCAGAGATTAAAATATTCAAGATGGCTGTGTTCTGCACCCTTTCTGCGAGCTCTACAGTTTTTCATCTTTCGAATACTCCGGCTCCCCCTCTTTATTAAGACTACCAGCATTCGGTTCCCCACCTTCTCTGCCTCCCGAGTCATTAAATATTGGCGAAAGTTCAAAGGGGCTTGCTTAAAGACCGCTTTATTTCCACTCCGGACCCCGGCGCAGCCCTCCGGACGCCGTTTCGGTCGGATGCCTCTCCCG